ATCGCACGTACGACCTCGTTTCCGTTTCTGATCCGCGTGCTGCGCGTATCGTCCGATTTTGTTAGAGCCGAGGCGTTTGCCGAGTCGCAGATTTGATACGGGTAAATTTTTCAATACCGCGCAAGATACGTGTTCCTTATCTCGCTCCTTACCGCGCCTCTTATATCGCTTTCCTGATCGTTCGATTTTAGTTGCGGTTTGTGCTATACCACGTGCGCGAAGAGAGGCCTTGGGTGCTTTGAATGCACTTTTACTTTCAAATAAGAAGTCAAAAGAAAACTTTCGTGCCGAAGTTTCGAGAACACGTATTCAATAACGAGGTCGGATTTCCGTCGACGTTACTTCAAGTAATGTCACAACGTGTCCTTTGTTAGTAAAAAAAAAGATTTTATCGACTTTTTGAAAAACAATCCCTGTTGCGAGTATTTATCGTGAATTTTTGGAGCGGAAAAAAAGATCCGCTCTATTTTTTATTTTTTTATTTTATTTTTTATTCTGCGGAGTTTCGACCTTTGGTACGAAAGCGAGTGCATTGGCCGGTAATACATCAATCTTTGCACGTTGCAGTCTCGCCATTGAGATCTTTTATGCCGGCAAAATGAATGACAATATCCAATGCAAGTTATTCCGACTTGTTAATCTTTAATTGCAGTCACGAGAAAGTGTGAGACCGCCTCAATCGCGCGCGACGCGACGCTCGTGCTTTGATGCGATATTTAATTCGCTCGATTATGATCCTTCTCTGGTCACTAAAATCTTTTTTGATTCCTCGATTCGGGCTATTAAATTTACAAATTTCTTTCTCATAATTCTCTCTACTCGAGTCAAAATGAACTTTAAATCGACGATCTGTCCCGATCAATTTTTTAAATTTGCTGCTCTTTTACTTTCAAATCATCCATCGTTCTTCCGAACGATATTTCGATGACTTTTCGTTGTTAAATTTTATCACCGTTATAACAAGCTTTCGCTTATCTTTCCGCCTTTCCCACATCGTAAAGCTCTACGACCTCAACGACCTCGTTGTTATCAATGAAATTTGTAGCCGGTAGATGAAGGTATGCAAAAATTAAGGCTTTTCTAAGAGGCGCTACGCTGCCTCCCTCAGGATTGAGGTCGATTTTCGGTCTGTGCACTCGATGATGAAACCGACACGGTCTCTGCCCCGGGCTGCAATAAGCCTGGTGCCAAGAATAAAGGGACACGGCATTTCGGCAGCGGCGGCAGCAGCAGCAGCAGCAGCAGCAGCAGCAGCAGCAGTGGCAAGCAAATAGTTAGAAGGAAGTAGACAGCCTTCGAGTGGTTCTTGCGCCGAGTATTTTCCTCGACGGTTTCAGCCCGACACCGTTTCAGTCGTGTGTAAGCAGCCGACCGTTGAACGTGCCTGCAAGAAACGGCGTTAATCAGCACCATCCATGGGTTATCAGCATTCTCGTTTTTTCATTATCTGGATATAATCAAGCACCGAGCAGCAAAATTGATCGCGAAAAAAGGTATGTGCGTACGTGTATTTACGCTGTTGCTGGTTTTTGACACATTTTTCAATCCGCCACAATTCAATCCGCCGATCAGTTGTTGATCTTCCTCGAACGTATCTCGAACGTATCTCGAACTCTATTTACCATTTTGCAATTTTGGATAATAAATGAATCTTATGCTTCCTACCTTTTGCTTTCTCTTTTGAAACCGGTGAGAATAAGTCGATGAAGATTTCGCGAGATCGAGATGACATTTTATCATATGCATTGATTATCTCATAATGTAAGAGAAATGATTGAAATTACAGAGATAAAAATAATGAAATCAATGTGCTCCTATAATCATATTGTTACGGCAATTGGATTAATCTGATCTAAAATATAAGTTTTACATGTGAAGTGTATCATCATTCGTTAATAGAAGTCAATATACAAAGTTTGCTTTTGACTACGTTCCGTAGATTCCGCTACACGTTTACGGAAAGTTTCGTATTTTCTTAAGTAATTTCCGAGGTATCTTTGAAGGTATTGTTGTATAAAAGTATATTATCGTCACATAAAACTTCAAGTTTATCTGTGATAATTGAAGTAAATACAGTACTTTACGATGATATAACTATTACCGGATACTATTACAAAATTTTTATTTTTAATTTTAGTTCTGATAGACATAAAGGTATAATTTATCTGTATAAGATAGAAAGTTTCCAAGAATTATATAGGAAAAAAAGTTTCCAGGAATCCAATATAATTTCCTGCTAAATAGATCAAGTTTAAAATAAAGAACATGAAGAATATTTTTTGCACAAATTAGAATAAAAATTTGAAATAAACTCTTTCTCTTTTAGCATGATTTTCAGGATTGATTTATAGATCTCTACTTTCATTAATTCTTTTGGATGCATAAATTTTTATCTTTTTTCTAAATTATTTTCTATATCAAATATTGTATATAGATATACATACAAATATCAAGAAGATTAAAGACTTTACACAATGATATTTAATTGAAGTAATTGTAACTGTATTATCTATTGCATCTGTTTAATAAAAGATGAATGATAAAAGATTAAACTTAAATTATGTGTTATCTTAATGCTTCCAACATTTCCAATTTTAATTACGATATTTTTATAAAGATTTTTGTATTATATTATTATTTTTCACTTATATTATTATTTTTCTATATTCTATCTTTATACTTTGTTCGATGATTAGGTAATTTAATTTTGCTAGTTATCAGAATATAAATTTTGTTATAAACAACCATCTGAATTTATTTACCTTTGCTATCTTTTTGATGCTCAATTTTGCTTGTCATCGTCTTTTCTTTTATATTCGGACTTTTTACGTAAATAGTAAGTCATTTTTGTGATAGACGTCCTTGTTTCAGCTGTCACGTGAGAAAACTCGCATAGTTTTGTCGAATGTTTACGTTTACGTCGACAGGAGATAATATTTTTTTACGACAATATTTGCCACTTGTCGCTTTCGTGCAGATAAGTTTCGTTCAGGCAGTTAGCTTTAACCGCAAATACGTCTATCTTCAAAGCTTTTTCCGCCGAGATCACATTGTTTTCAGCCGCGTCAAGCGCGCGATATGATTTTCTGGCAAGTGCCAGGATTGCATTTAATGACGCACTAGGTCTAGGCGACGAAATAAAGTTGTTTACAAATATGATTCGATCGGCATGAGGTACGGTCATGATTTCGCAATGTACCATTTTATAGATGAGGCTCCGGTAGATGGATATGGTCGGAAGCGAAACTGATCGATTGCACTTTTTGTAAATTTTTGATTTTGCAACCAAGGCTAATACTAAGGCGTAACTAATTTGTAATGTCATCACTTTTCTCTTCTTTTCGTTTCACGAAATTGATCGTGCTTTGCTTCTAAGGGACCTTTATATTCCAATGTGACGCAGCGAAAATTTACAAGATAGCAATCCTGTAGGCTCAATCCTTTAAGCATTGTATCTGCGTATCCTAAGATATCATGCGTCTATCACACGATACAATTATGCATTGCGTCATAATATGCTTCATTGCACCTTCATAAATGTTATACACTGAGAAGAAAAAGAACATTTTTCCCAGTAACGCACTTCAAGGATAGCAAGTACAACGATTTTAATTAATGGCAGAAGTGGATTGCGAGAATGCGATAACTTTGTAGGAAGCAATAAAGCAACTGAAGATTAGAAGATTAGAAATACTTCCACTAAGAATGGAAACTTAAATGAAATTTTTTTTGTAGTTTGTCGTTTTATTAAGATCGCGTTACGTGACTTATTCTCAGGAACGATATTTTCATTATAGAGAAGTGAACGTGAGTGAAAGTGAATCTAACTTTTCGCATCGCGCGAATTGAATTTTTTTATAAGGATAGACGAGAAGTACGTTGTACGTGAATTATCGCAAAATAATGTTGGCTTATCGTAGATGACATTTCATCGTGATTATAATTTCATATCGTTGATTTGTCTTACGAATTGCTTTCTTCGAGAGATATCTATATACACTTGCATATATATATATATATATATATCGCGTGTCCGGAACTATTTATGCGGTGTGTCACGCACTATCTCTGAAATATTAGACATCAAAATACAAACGAATATTCGTCATTCCATTGCGAATCTCATTGAGGTACTCACAGAGATAATTAATTTCCGGCGAACTCTTTTTAAGCCATCTCTATCGTATTTTTCCGAGTTATCGAATGCTTCAACTTTTAGGGACGTTTTCGGGCTCCGAAAATTATTCCGTTCTCAAAGATTCGAAAGTATCATTTCTCACGCAATGTGTTTTTATCAGCCATTCTAAATAATTATCTAATCGCATTTGATAAGTCCTGAGTAGAATCACGATCGCATTTTAATTGCGGTTTGAACATCCTGACTTCAACGAGATCCGATAAGTTTTTGCGATCGCCATTATCTACTTGGAAGAGATTGTGTTGCGAAGAATCTCGCCTTAAGCTTCTCCCTCCTAAAAATTCTCCCTCTTCCCTGCGAAAGTAGAAATATCGAATGTTTATTGGCGATTTCGACGTAATCGTCGCTCGCGTCTGATAAAGGCACACGTGATCGGGAGGCCAAAAGAGAGCCGGTGAACGCTTCTATTTTGGTATCGTCGCTAGAGGCGGTTACATTGCCAAAAAGTGAATTCGCGTCGGTCAAAGCAGACGCTGTAACTTCCTCAAGGCGCGACACGTGACAGTGAGTTTAGATCGTTTGTTGCCCATCGTGAGATCGTGGAATCACAAACGTGATCGTGAGTCCAATTTGACAGATACGACCGACGTATAAATCTAATAATACCGCAGACGATTCCGATGCAATTATATTTCTCGTCGTGACTTAAGAGACTTGATTAATTGAGTGACACATTACCCTGCTTAACGCTGCTTTACTCAAAATAATCACGTGGTCGCGGCACATTGAAAAAAATCCTCTGACAAATTACGACAGCAATTACGCAATAATTACATTAAGTTGACTAACTGAATAAGTACGACGTCAGCCTGTTTACCGTTTATGATTGTAATTAGCTTACAATAAAAAGGCAGAATGCAAATTTTCGGTGAATGATACACTATCCTCTTTCATTGTACCAGTATAATAAGGCACGTTTTATGAAATTTAATTATTTATTTTTTATGTTTTTTTTTATATTTTTTCGCCATATAATATATACATTTCTTAATGTATAATATTTGATTATATCTATTTAATTCACACGTGTAATCTTGTAATTGATTCAGATTTTGATTATTTAACAGTTTTTTAATTGATCTTATCTAATCACACTTTAACTAAAAAGAAAGAGAAATGATAGTACAAACACGTTACCTCAATATTATCTTATTTTTTAAGTGCTTAATGTTCGCCATAAACGTAATCATAAATTTTAATGTAAGCACAATTTCATTTGCCATACTTGCGTTTGTTTACACATGAGCGTCAAATTAAACGGAAGTAGTAGTGTAACTAATTCAAGTACACTTTAGACATATAGTTTTAAGAAGGATAAACGGACGATTGACCTTCAGAGAAATTGTATCGTCACGTTTGTTGCCTTTGCTCCGAAATCGCGAAGTCCATTTGTATTATAATCGCTCAAATGATAAACTGTATTCATCAAATGAATCATTTATGAGTATGCAAATAACGTCACGATTTAACGCGGTACATTACATTTTAAAAAACAACATAAAAAGAGAAAATATATTCATTGTTTACATTTACAAAATACGAATGCGCGCAATGTTCCCGAAATTTTGTTCCCGAGATGTTTGCATATAAAATATAAATAAATGAAGAGTATAGATATAAATGAAACAATTACGTCGAAAATTGATTCTGAGATCGCATACTTCGGGTCTGCGTTTGCTTCATCATCTTTTATTTATGCTTGCTTATTCTCTTGGACTTACTTCCCTCCAGCTGCATCCCCGATATCTCTGAGGCAGTGGAAAATGTCTTGTCTAGCATAATTATCTGCTTAATGAGCAAAATCGTCTTTACTACTTTTATGCGAAACGCTTGAATCCGGTTAAGGGTCATGATCCGTGATCTATTAACATAAGAAGAACCGATAATAGATTACATATATTCCATTCGCGTGGGTTTTATCTAAAGCAGACAGTCGTATCTTTTCCTCCTATGTTTGATATCACGTATTTCACAGGTTATTTTTATATTCCATCAATTAAAATACTGTTTCTGTTATATAAGTTACTGCTAGCGGGTAGCATTAATTTGCACAAATTTGCAATTCCCGACGCGCGTTATCGACGGCATTATTTCTTCCGCATCGATGTGCTGCGCGTTCTACGAGTCATGTCGAAGTAAATCGCTCGATTGTTATCGCCTGCCTATTGACTACGTTATCGTTGGCAATGCTAAAGTTTCGGTTTTAGACCATGATATGTCTATCCGGCGATTAAGCGTCGGTATCGTAAAACGCCCTTACGTCAGTAAAGCGTCGTAAATATCTCGTGTTGTTCCACTTGCGCCGGGTGTCAATTCGGCGCTTCCACGTGGCGCATACGGGGTTTACATTAAGTATATAATAGCTTCTTGGGTTGTAACCTAGAGGATATCTCGATTAAGATCGTTTTACGCCACTAAAAGTAAGTAGCGCAGGAAATGATTACCGCCGCGTTTTACATGGCAATTAATATATAAGGTCAGCCCTTTTTATTCCGCTCGAAAAAACGCCGCCTGATGGCGCCTTGTGTTCTTCCGCGTCGCAAGAGTTTCGTTCATCGAACGTAAACCCATCCATTTTTATCACGTAACAAAGATTAAACGATATCGATAAATTTTCTTTATCTTTCTTCAAAATATATATTTGTTATTAATTTTTAATCTCCATCATGTCTCACAGATAAAAGAAAAGTAAAAAACTTTCAAATTATAGAACAACTCATCAAATTATAGATCGATGATTCATTGCAAACAAATAAATCATTTATAAATCATTTAATTACATTGGAATTTGGAAACGAACTCATTAAAAAAATGATTATAAATAAAAAAATGATTATAAATCGTTTATTTCTAATCGCGCATAATTTATCAGTGAAACGTCATGATTGAAGAGCAATACTTAAAAGAAGCACTCCAATTATGACATTGATCGATTTGTTTATATTGAAAGTATCGATTATCTTGCCGAGCAATTAGCACAAAAAAATGAAAAGAAATGATTGTATATACACGTATTATCAAAATGTAAGTTAGACTTATTATATTTCTCTCGTATCTCATACATGCTCGCAAGTGAGTTTCCTACTTTTCTTTTTTTTTCTTTTTATTTAATATTTTAACATTGACCTTCGTCATGCAGAATTAAATGCTGTGCACGCTATGGATTAATTAAGAAGTCAATCAATAAAGAGATGTGCAAGGCGCATTCAATTGGCGAAATGTTGTTAATAACGGAATAATACCGAGGAAATCGGTTTTAATCTGTCTCCATTCGTCGCAATCAAGTTTTTAGCGAGAAAAGAAACAACGTATGACGGAAGAGCGCAATCCGCGTAAAAATATATACTTACTCGAGCGATACTTTAAGCTGATGACGGACATACGTGGCATCTGGCAGACCGATTACGTATATATATATGCTTTTCATTCATCATGTTATTGTCATAATATGTCTAGACAATTGAACAAAAGGCTTTTGCGTGATGTATCTTTAACATATGTATCGTTACAAGAAGCGCGAGTTCAGAGCTTCGGATTCGCGAATAGAGTCGTGCGCAAGAATAGAATCTTGATCGCATTTCGAGGCGCGAACTATGCTATATATATTTTGTCTCCCAAGTTATTGTGTGGAAGGTATAGACATGTGTACACACACCACACACCACC